GCCCCGGGCCGCGGAGGGAAGCGGGATGGCGATGGGAAAACGTGCCGGGAGCTGGCTTCAGGCTGGGGAAAAAATAAAACCAAGCCCAAACCAAACAACAAACAATAAACAAAAAAACCCCACCCCAACAAAACCCTTCCGACATTCAAGTATTAAAAGCATCTCGGCAAACAGGAGGGGGAAGAAATAACGCACAGGCTGGGGTTGGCACTTTATCTCTGCAACAGCCTACTGCTTCAGGAAAAGTCAATTCACAATAAATTATAAATATGCTAGCACTAAGAACACAACCTTCCCCTCCCTTATAGCTCTACTAAGGTAGTTTTTTAACTAGAAAATCCCATTCTTCCTCTCCTCTAAAAGTTAGGAATAAGTTGGCGGGGGTCCTTCCGCCCCTTTTTCTCCTAAATAATTTACAACGCGGCTCTGAGAGTGCCCCCCGCACACTCTCTCGCCTCCCTCCCCGTCTTTTCTCCTCTTCCGAGTGACCCAGTATAAAACTACCAGATGAGGAGGTTTGCCTGCAAAGATCCTACGAAACTTTCAGGTCAAAGTCACATATCTGCCACGGCGCGATTCAAATAAAAATCCCGCATAATAAAAAAAAAAAAAAAAAAAAAAAAAAAAGGAAGGGGGGGGGGGGGGGGGGAGAAACCCAGCGCTTTTGGGAGTTGGGCTGTCATTAACCGACTACCCCGGTATAAAGTCGGCGAATTGAAAATGATTTGTTGGGTGCAATTAAACGCAAGTCCTACGAATGTGTCTGTCTTGCAGTAGTTTTAATTAAATCGTCTGATTCCTTGGCCACCTCCACGTGTGAGTGTGAGGGTGAATGCGTGCGCCGGGGCGTTGTGGGTGCTGTAGAGAATCATTGTCCTTAGGTGGAGAAAGAAAGACAGCGAGGCTGGGTGGGGGCTTGGGCCAGGGCTGTTCGTGGCCGGGTGTGTTTGCCGTCTTGTTTTCCATAGGGAAAATGGGAGCAGGGAGAGCTGCTGCTCAGACAGGAGCCCGTGTCTGTGTTACACTGCAGGGAGAAGACAAGAGAAAGGGGGGAAAAAAAACATAGAGAAAGAAAATAAGGGAACAGAAACAAAAGCCAGCGTGTGTCCCCAAAAAGGAGCTGCAGTTTTGGCTAAGTCGCCTCCTGCTTGGCAAAGCTAAGCAGATTAAAAAATAAAAATAAGAGTCATAAGCAACATCTCGCATGCAAAGGTGGAGAT